GCTCTTAATGATGTCTGCCAGTTATACTTTCATTTTCTTTGTTCGTTTTTTCTTCCACTCTATGAGGTCATTTTTGGGTACATTCTAACATGACTTCCCTCGTCCTTACTCTCAGCTGGTGACCTTGCTTCCTCCTTCACTGTCAAAATTGCGGCAATCAGATGAGAACTTCCCTAAACTTCTACCACCACACGGTGCTCCTACCAGTGTCTGCACCTACCTATTCTGCCTTCCTGCCCACGATCACACTCCTATTTACAGCCACTTTCTCTCTCGCTCTCTCTCTCTTTTTTTGGTGGTGGGGTGGGGGTACTGGGGAGTCTACCCCTGGGATTACAGGTGTGCACCATCAGCCCAGTGAAATATCCTCTCAGCACTACCTTCCTCCCCAGCTATCATTCTATTTCTCTATTCCTTCTTTGTAGCCAAACTCCTTGGAAAATTGTTGTAAGCTCTGTTCCCAATTCCTCTCCTCCTCCCATTCTCTTTTAAAACTCAGTCCAATCAGGCATTTGTCCTTACTGTTCTACCAGAAATGTTCCTGTCAAAGTTACCAGCAATCTATACAGTGCTAAATCCAGGTCAGTTTTATAGATCCTACCTCACCCCCAACCTGAACCTCTATCATGAGCTCTGATCCATGTATCCAACTCTGTTTTAATACTCCCACTTGGATCTCTAGTAGACATCCAAACTTACATGTCCAAATTGGAATTCCTGAAAATGTCATTAACAGTAATTCTGCCTTTCCAATTGCTCAAGTCAAAAGCCTTGAATATATTCCTAACTCTTTGATTTATATCCTGAATTAAATATGCTAGAAATGCAGTTGGTTCTGTTTGTCTGACTCCACTGCTCACACTTGGTCTAAATTACCACTCTCTCTCATCTGGATTATTGCAGAGTCTTCCAGTTTGTCTGTTTCCACCTATCCCCGTACACTCTCTGCACAAGAGAGCAGTTGAAGGGATTCTTTTAAAATAGATCAGGAGTTTTGTCTACTTCTCTGCCGTGGTTCCTCTCTTTACTCGGAGTAAAAGCTCAAGTCTTTACAACGACCTCTAAGACTCTATTCAGTCAGGCCTGGTTACAACTCTGACCTCATCTTTTACTACTCTCTCCCTTGTTCTTTTTGCTCTAGTGACGCTGGCTTCCTTATGGATCTTGAATACACCAGGTTGCTTCTGTCCTAGGATCACTGTACTGGCTGCCTGTTCTGCCTAAATACCCTTCTTCTGGCTGTCCATGTGGCTCACTCCTTCACCTTTTTCAACTGAAGTCTTTTTTTTTTTTTTTTGTCTGCTTGTTTGTTCTTTTTAATTATACATGATAGTAGAATATATTTTGGCAAATTATACATACAATGTAAACTTATTCCATTTAGGATCCCACTCTTGTGGTTGTACATGATGCGGATCCTTCAAGCCTTGGTTGGAATGTCTTGCTTTCTTAGGGTGGCCTCCCTGACCATTCTCTTTAAGACCGCAAACATTTCTTTTCATCATAGCACTAGAAACGTCCTCTTTTGCTCTTTATTTTCTCTAGAGGTTCAGGTTGGGTTAAGGAGGACCTATAGAACTGACTTGGATCTAGCACTATATAGATTGTTGGTAAGTTTGACAAGAGCATTTTTTAAAAAATATTTTTTTAGTTGTTAATAGACCTGTATTTTATTTTATTTATATGCGGTGCTGAGAATCAAACCCAGTACCTCACACATGCCAGGCAAGTGTGCTACCACCGAGCCCCAGTCCCAACCCCAACAGGAGCATTTTTGGTTAGAGCAGTGAGGACAAATGCCTGAGTGGACTGAGTTTTAAAAAGAGAATGGGAGGAGGAGAGGAATTGGGGACAGAGTTTACAATTA